TCCTCGAGAGCCTGACGAAGCTGATCTTCGGTATATTGAGGCATTATATATAGAAGAAGACATGTGCAAAAGATGAGCCCATTTGGACGCGAATTGAAAATGTTGTGATAAAAGGAGGTTGGGGGTGGGCATTGGGTTGTGGTGGATTTTCGCGTTTTTGTGGGTGCCAGAAACAGGGGGGTGCCAGGAAGTGGGTATGTTGACTTATACCGTCAGGGGTGGTTGGGCCAGGAGCATTCTTGCCAAGTGATACGAGGCAGCCTTTAGTCATCGGTATTACATCAATGTTCATCGTATTGATTGCCGTTTTTATGGCCATTCGGGTTTATATCAGGGGTTACCTCTTGAGAGGATGGCAACTCGACGACTCTGTGTTCATGTGGTCTTCGGTGAGTTCAAGGTTGCCCCGCTATGAAGTCCCCCAAATGACAACTAACACTATCATACAAGATGCTCGTGATTGTCCAAGGAGCCATGGTACTATGCAGTAAGTCAAACTCTGCTGGATTTTCACTATATTTCAGTCAGCAAATAGACTGATCCTGAATTTCTTCATCAGATGTAGTGTATGGTAGTCTTGGGCTGCACCTTTGGAGATCAACATTTGATCAGATACAGCAAAATCCTCGTGTAAGTCAACAGGACACATGATCTACAGTCGGCACCAAGCCTGCGAGACTTTGGCTGACGTCGGTCTTAGTACTTGGTTACAACAGTCCTTATGTACCAATTATCTTTCGGTTTCATTAAAGCAACGTTTTTACTGCAGTTCCGCCGAGCATTCGCTCTGCCTCACATAATATTGTTCTGCGACATCTTCCTGGGCATCATGTTCCTAGCACTCATAGGATTGCTCATCTTCGGCGGAATCGTTATGCGAGATTTTCTGAAGCCGGGGTATGTCCCTTCGCCTGGGGAAAAGGCATACCTGATATTTGGCTACGTCAACGCCGCCGTACATCTCTCGACGGATATCGTCATTTTCATACTGCCGCTGGCACTTGTGGGACAGATGCGCCTTGCAGCAATGCAAAAAGCTGGTCTAATCTCCAGTTTTGGGGTGGGAATCTTGTAAGTAATATAACCTGCCTCTTCAAAGGTCGTCTTCCTGAACAAATTGCAGCACCAGCGCGATCTCCGTGCTGAGAATAGTCAGCCTGCCTCTTGCTACCAGCGGGATCGATGGGTTCTACCAAGCCGTGCCGCTCGTTCTCCTAAGTATGGCCGAGCCAACGTCTGCAGTCATTTGCGCATGTGTGCCGATTATGCGGCCCTTGTTAGCATGCTCGGGAACCTCCAGGTATGGCAGCCAAGGATCGCAAAGACCTCTCTCAGGAGCAGCCAACGAATCGGCCGGACAAAAACGTCAGACACCGAGCGCGCCTCCTCAATCGCCCACCAGCACGACAAGTCAATCCGTAACGCAAATGACATACAAATCGACTATTACAGGGAGTATAGATGGAGATTTGGAAGGATACACTTCAAGCCAACAGGCCAGGGGTAGCATCAATACATTGAACCCACTGTCCAAGCACCCATCATCTCCCACCAAAACGGCACAATTTCCATGAGGAATTGAAGTTTCTTCACCTTTACAGCAGTTAGAACTCCATGATTGATCGCGGCGTCTAAGTTCACACAAAGGCATCAGCACGTGGGTTCATGTTCACATTACGATGACGAGAGGCAACAAAATGTCAAATCAAGATACCCCCCGCGCCCGGGGGGGGGGGGGGGGGTTGGTGGACATGCCAAAAGCCTCCGGAATGAAAGACACTCAGATTATCTTGTTGGTCTTTGAACATTTGGCCGGGGAAAACACACGAGAATGGCAGCACCCACTTGAGTGTGCCGTGTAGGGAATCCTGACAACCCCTTAGAGCGGATATGATTCTTGTCTCCCACCTTGTGAGTCAAGGAAACCAGCTGCTAACGTTTCGTGGTTCACCTGATAAGTCGGAACCCCCAACCAACGACTTGAAGTAAGTTAGGGAAGTAAACTTCAACTCCTAGCAGCGGCACAGACATGTTACGGGGCTTCATGCGAGATTAGGAAAATATAGCAACCGATCACAAGGTGTTAGATGCGCTATTGGCCTACATCCGAGAATGGAGGCAATGCTAAGTTGCGCTTGTCATACGTGTACTCCGAAGGCTGATGGCTAGGACTTTTGGCAGTGAATACAGAATTGTCTCTCAAATCATAATCTTTTTTGATGAGCAATAGTAGATCTAGGATTTAGAAATCGTAGTGGGGAGATGTTTGCTGGATCTCAATACCAAGACCACGTTGTCTGAGTTACTTGAGATAACTAGGAAATCAGTACGAGGGAGTCAACCACATGAGCATCAATGGTAGTATCCTCTGAACCACATACTGAGCTTCAAAAGATCGCATACGATCTGACTCAATGACGCCTCATGATCCTAATAGAAACATAAGGACCCATGGCTCTATCTTTCTCAATCTATTTTAGGAAGAGGTCTTCTGCTATAGGCATCCGCACAATACCAGTCGATCAGTGCATTTCCAGACTCTTACAGGGTTGGCTGTAGAGCCTTGAGCCCCATATAACTTGAGCCGACCACTGGCAGAACCTCCAAATAGTGAGCATTATTTCTTTTTCGAATATCCAACCCTGACACCCCCTAGTCTCTTTGGTCGTCGTCCGTAGAACGGTGGATGCTGAACAAGGGAGACGAGCTCACTGTCATAAGGGGGAGAATGACTGCCCCCGGACAGTATTAGGGCAGTAAGGGGGCGAGGAAATCCCCAGGTGTTGCGAAGTGAACTGCGGACCACTCAGAGAAGGTGAGAAACCAAGTCAGAATGTGAATTGCACCCGGACGGAAATTGTGGTGTCACGGTCCTCGATTCCAAGTCCTTAAACCCGAAAAGAGGGTCTTGAGCAATGGCAAAGCACACACCTGTCAAATGTCACTTCTCCTGTCAAGTTTTCAGAAGGGGTATACCTATGTTAAAGCTCGAATCTCAGACAACATATTGCTTATTTTCTTCCCCAATGCATCACAAACAGCCGGTTGGGCGGGTACGCTCGAGACTACATGAATTCCGCTTGGCAGGTTGTCCACTCAAAGCTCGCGAAAGATGCCCTGTGAAAAAAAAGAAGGACTTCTGCTGGGAGTGCACACTCTGCGAGAGCATTCAGGTTTGCTTGTCAATTTGATGTCAGCACGGAGCCTCCCCCGTGGCCTGCATCACGCCGCCCGGTGGAGTGACACAAGTTTCCAAGGGATGGCCAAGACCCCAGCATACCATTCCACAGGAATAAAACAGCCCAAATTCCCGGATACTGAGTTTTGGTCCTGCCGTGGCTTGTGCTTCTCTACTATTCTTGACCTCCCTTTTCCACCAGTAACCTCTTTGTGATCGGCCTTGAAGGCTTGGTCGTCATTGGGTGTGTCGATGGCCTCTTCCGAGCCCAGGTACATGGCCGAGCCGCCAGATGGTCAAGGACGATTCGATGCGGGCACTATTACAGCCGGGGCGTTGATATTGGGTGGAACGCTGACTTCGCTATCCATCATATTTGTCGGTCTGCGAGCCTTCACAAGGCTATCCCTGGTGAGAAGAGGCCTTGGTCCCGATGACTGTGAGTATTCTCCCAACATATATTTGTGAATTCTATTCTAATGACCCCTTATCCAGATCTCATCGGCATCTCGCTAGTTCTGGCCATAATCTTCTATGGACTATCCGTCAAATGTGAGACTATTCCGACCACTTCCTATGGAGGGCGCCTCTAATTCCAGAAGTGTGCGAGCTCGGCGTGGGCACCCATCTTTGGCAAGTCGAGCGAGCTGACTATTCACCTTCATTCCTGCTTGTAAGTTACAACCCGCTCTTGAGGTTGTCAGATGAACTTCAGCATTTGTTCTTTCCACGGACGCACCCGATTGACAAAACGATCTAGCACAGCATCATTGCGATAGCCGTCTACTCATTAAGTGTAACTACTGCGAAGTTGTCACTCCTCGTTTTGTACTTGCGTCTATCACCCGAAAGATGGTTCAGAATTATTACAATGACCCTCATTGGCTTCGCCTCTTCGTACGCACTGGCATACCTCTTTCTCATCGTTCTCAGCTGCAGGCCAATCCAGGCTTCATGGGATCTCTCGGCTAGAGAGGGAGCGATATGTATCGACAAAAACACCGTCTACTTGGTGCTCAGTGCTACCAACATCATCATGGATGTCGTGTGCCTTATTCTTCCTCTGAAGATCATCATCCCCCTGCAGATGGCAGCCCGACAAAAGCTGTCGCTGATTCTGCTATTTGCCACAGGGGGCTTGTAAGCGACTTCTCACGCGAAGGTGCACAATCGCATGCTGACGTCTCTGCAGTGTCTGTCTATGTGCCATCAGACGTACAATCCTCCTACCGCCGCTCTTCAAAAGTAAGGATTACACTTTTGACATTGACAGGCAGTTGAACTGGGCATCCATCGAAGTCAACGCTGGAATTGTGTGTGCCTCCGTCCCGGCACTCAAGCCTTTCTTCGTGCGCTATCTGCCAATGTTTGTGACTTCCCACGTCGCCGCACGCGGCTCCAAGACGAAGAAGACAACGCCAGATTATCAAAAGTACCAACGCTCAAATCCCTACTCTACCACAATTGAAGCCAACAAGAAGAGGCGCAACGTTCAGTCAGAGGCATACGAGCTGCATTCGCGTGATGATTTGTCGCTATCCTCGAATGGCATGCCGAAAAATGGGTCAAGAGAGGATGTTGCGAAGCTTTGGTCCGGAAATGCTTTTCGCAAACAAAGCAGAAATCGCCGCGAGAACATCATCGAGTCGAACCCAAGGGACCCAGATCATCGTGCCTCAACCCTTGTCGACCAGGTACAGCCGGTGGGAGAACATGACTCAAAAGAAGACCCTCCACAGAGAGTGGCGAGCATGAGCGGTATCAGAGTCACAACAGAGACACGGGTCGAGTATGAGGTGCCATGGCCGGATCATCGCAGTCTCAGGGGATGATGTTTTCACGCTGTTCTATTGTTTGTTGAGCGTACTTTGGACACGTTCGATTTTTAGATTAGCAATACAGACTGCACGCTGTCTTCAAGCACCAAGTCTCCCAACTTCGAGGTAGAAGGTTTCCTTGCTCACCATGCAGCCTCCAGGTGCATAATATCTCTAAGGTCTTTCACCTCCGTGCCAGGCCTAGTAGCGACAGGCTTCGACTTTCTATTGCCATACTTCCATTCCTCTTTTAGTCCCCTTTCTTTGCCCTCCAAGGCATCTGCAATGTAGTCGCCGATGATGGGAAACATCTTGAAAGCATGACCAGAGTCTCCAGTCGCCAGAAGTAGTGATGGATGTTTCGGATGATTGTCGATGAGCCAGTGAGAGTCCGGAGAGTCGGTGCACCAGCAGACTCGCGCACCCAGCAGCGGTCGACCAGAGAACTGTGGCATGACTGTATCAATAAACTTCCTGATTGCTGTAGCTGCTTCATCGGGGATTCCGTCTTTGGGGTGTGCACTCGCGTATCGAGGGACTGAGTAGTGCTCTACCTTACCCGAGGGATCGGTGTACGTGCCGATTCGGTACTGGTAACCTGGGGATCCGTCACAGATCTTCATCCACTCTCCAAGCAATGTCAGTAAACAGATCCTTGTCTCTCATTGTCATATAAACCTACTGGTTTCTGTGTCTGGTTCGAATGTGAAGCCCAGCTCAAAGTTGTCCACGACGGGAATCCCCTTCCACTGGGCAACCTCCTCATCATTCAGCTCGATATGAGCCAAAGACCAGCACTTTGTCCACATCTCCTGTGACAACTCAGGTAGAACTTCAGGTGATGCAGCCCCTGTACAGAGGATATACCTGTCCCCACGCACAACATCGCCGGACGCAACCTTGATCCCGTCAAGCTTGCCCGAAGTATCGAGGCTCAGCCCAGTCATCGTGCCATTAGGTCCTGATATGAATTCAACACCCATATCCTGTGCTGCTTTACCCCATTTCTCTAAAGACTTCTTGGCATGGGCCCAGCCACCTTGGCTGTTCCAAAGGCCCTTCCAGTTTTCGATACCGTCTGCATCACGGAGCTGCGGAACGTGTGTGGCAATTTGCTCTTTGCCCGCCACCAGCTCGAGACTATCAGCCTGTCCAGCCTTCTTGAGATTCTCATACGACTCTTTGAGGTGTTTCTCTGCTAGTGGGTCCCCTAGAGTTGTCACGATGTGTCCCTATGAGGTTATCAGGGGCTGAAATATGCGATAATGATTGTGGGAAACGTCGACCAACCGTCTCATGAAAGATTCCTTCCCATTCTAAACCTCTCCAAGCATTGAGTGCCTCAAGCGCTAGTTCAGTGTACAGCGGCTCATCATATTCCGTTCTGATGATCTTGTTCAGGTCATACCCTGCAGAATCGAGACTTGGTATGGGATGACGATCGAGACACCTGATATTGTTGTAGCCACGCTTGGCAAGATGATATGCGGTGCTGATGCCAAAGGTACCCCTGATAAGGTCTGATCAGTAATGCCCATATCTGGTATGGTTATGTTAGACTTACGCGCCCAGAATGACA